CTCTTACCAGATTGGTCAATGGTTACAGGCCAAACAAACTCAGCCTCCTGGTCCTCCAGGTTGGGGGTTGGAATGAGGTGACTCCTTATTCCTTAAAACGGACCCGTTGTAGCCCAACGCCAAATCCCCTGTCTTGCGGTAAGGTTTTTGAACCAAAGGGTTTGGCTGAGAACCCATATCGTTCTCCTGTATAGGCCTGGGCAAGCTGATGGCATCCTGCCCAAGCAATACAATGAATTTCTCTTCAACCAGTTTCTTGATGCTCGGGCCACCGCAGAGGATAATCAACGGTGCCCTACCTGCTGCATCGCGCAGGGTGAATATTGGTTTGGATGCTAATGCTCAAACCTTCCCGTCTTCCTGTTCCCCTTCTTACGCTTTTTCACGCTTATCGTTCCGTGCCAACTTTACTTTTATCCCCCAGTTCCCACCCCCCAATTCTTGGCCCTCCTCACCTTGCTTCAATAATCGCTTGTCTTTAACTTTCAACTCACATGTGAACGCGGAGCGTCATTCCTGCCCTGTCAACAGGCCCATGTCCAAGCAAGCGGTCAAACCCAAGTCATCGGCTTCCATTTGGAGCCCTCGATCCTCCTTCCGATTGGCATGCCTCAATGTACGCACATTACAACAGATCGGTCCACAGGCAGCATCTGCTCGGACATTAGAGACCCTCTCGATCGATATATGCTGCGTATCAGAGACAAGCCTGCAAGCCTCGAGCTCGGTGCTCACTTTGCCATCTCCTTTAGGCAACGCAAGCAGTATTTCCTCATTGCGCCTATCTGCTGAGGATACAGCTTCGAGTACCGGCCAAGCCAGCGTTGGCATTGCGCCGAGTCCCGGGGCTCAAGCTGCTCTGGTTGGTTGGATTCCAATGAGTAGCCGGTTGTGTGCGGTCCGATTGGCTGGCTCGTTTAAAGCTTCGAAGCCGCTCACAACGTCTTCTTTGGCGGACGCCCAAGACGACGATGTGAGCGCATTGACACCAGCCAACTGAAGAAGCCAGCCGTTCTTAATGCTTATCAAAGCACGCTGTCAAGCCAGTTAAGTAAGTGCTCACTGGATGCAGTTGAAGCGCACTGGTCTCATATTCACCAGTCCTTACTGGCAGCAGGAAACTCCTCATGTGATATGTCTAATGGCCAACATGGACATTGGGTCTCTTCGCAATCTCTGGAACTTATTGGTGCTCGCCGGCATATTCCGACTGGAAGCGCACACAATGCAACTCGTAAATAGCTCCGGACAAAACTCCGTGCTAGCCTGAAGAGAGACCGGGAATCCTGATGGTCTCATCTAACATCAGAGATGGAAATGACCACTGCCCTTCGTAACCATCTTGTTATTCCGTCTGCTACGGGAAACGGGCAGCAGGAGACCTGGTGTTAGTGAAACTATACGTGACGAGAGTGGACAGCCTATCCACAAGTTATCAAAACGCTTAGAGCGTTTGGCTGAGCACTTTGAAAGGCAATTTAATCAGTCGGAATGGTTAAATTTCTCGCCGGCCAGTGATCGCCCCGCTCCCTGGGCTGTCCCTTTGGATCCACCCTCTCGCTCAGAAGTCGAACGTGAGATCGGACTGTTGAAGTTAAATAAAGCCGCGGGACCTGATGACCTTCCTCCAGCCCTATTCAAATTCGGCGGACCTGCTCTTGTGGATGATTTACACGAGTTACTAGTCAAAATGTGGGAGCAGGAAACTGTCCCAACCGATTGGAGTCGCTCCGTCATAGTCCCAATTTTCAAAGAATGCTCACGATCGGATTGCGGCAGCCATAGAGGAATCAGTCTGATCTTCATCGCCTCCAAATTGCTTGGCTCTGTCATCCTTCACAGACTAACTGGCACTCCTGAAAGCCAGATTCGTGAACAGCAAGCCGGGTTTCATTGAGGTCGTGGCTGCATTGACCACATCTTCACCTTACGTCTGTTGTTGGAGCACCGTCACATTTATTGGCGGCCCACCGTTTTCGTGTTCGTCAATGTTAAATTTTCATTCGATTCGGCGGATAGGCTTGCACTTTGGGACTGTCTACTCGGGAAAGGTATACCTGAGAAATATGTGAATATTATCCGAGCATTACACGCGCGTAGCTCGGGCAGAGTGAGGGCTTACGGCAAGCTGTCGTCGCCCTTTAATATCTCCAACGGCGTGAGACAAGGATGTCCGCTGTCACCTTTCCTCTCCAACTTCGCTATTGATAAAATCATGGAAATTCCTTTTACAGGACACGATTTAGAAGGTGTGGATCTGCTCCCAGGAGAACGACTTCTTGTTTTAGAGTGTGCTGAATATATTTCCCTAATCTGTGACAACTCCCAGTCGTGCCGAGCCGTGCTGGACAGATTGGCGCTGGCTGTCCGTCACTTCGGGTTTTGCTTTGCACCATTGAAGTGCAAAGCGTTCCTCCAAGGATGGCCTGGACCGCATTATACTCTGACCTTTGGTAGGGAACAGCTAGAATTCGTTTACAAATTCAATTACCTGGGAAGTTGTATTAGTGCCCGTGGGTTTGAAGATGGGATCACGAACCGTATAGCAAAAGCTCGAGATGCTTTTGCTAACTACCGCCGCCTATGGTGGCGGCGCGACATCACTCTTGCCCTGAAGGGTAGAGTGTACAATGCAGCAGTACGTTCGACCCTAATGTACGGTTGTTAAACCTGGCCCCTTAGATCAGCGGACCTAAAGATGCTAGTTACGTTCGTCCACTGGTGCGTTCGCAATTTTGCACCCGTCTGATTGGAACAATGCGTGAGTAACGAGCGTGTTCGGCGCCTTGTTTAAGGCACAGGAAAACGAAATGAACCGCTCAGCACCGTAATTTCACGCACCAGGCTCCGATGACTTGTCCATGTGTAACGCATGCCAGCCCACCGACTCCCGCAATGTGCTTTATTTGCGCGTCAGGAGTGTGGATGGAAGAAGAGGTGGGGTGACCAAGTGTTGGATTGTTCGAGAAGATTGCAGGCCGTCACTTCGAAGCTGGCCATGGTTGGAGCGCCTCAGCTCACTGGTAGGGGTCCGAAAGACGATGAACACGTTTGGCTTGATACACTTGTTGATATGGCTAGGAGCCGACCTCAGTGGCGTTCGTGCTGTGAGTTTCTTTGTCTCACCCCATCCCTCTTAGCCTCCCCCTCCAACCACGATCTCACTATTTAGCCTTATATAATTTTGCATAGTAATTTTTTTGCTGCAGAATAGCCTGCAGATAACTTAATGGAACGATGTTCATCCGTTACCGGTAGCTCAGCTGGCTTGCACCTGTTGCAGTTTGTTCCCTTTCTTCTACGTATTGCGGCACATTAACTGAGATGTTTCCCACCTCTAGCCAACGTGTATAACGATGAGGAATTAAGCAGTAACATACCAGATGAATGTCTTGGTATTAGAAAGACGCTTGGAGACCGCTAGTGTATGGGTGATGGGAGAAAACGTATGAAGAACCCTCAACAACGGCTTTGAACTGCAGCGCACCACGCAGCGTCCAAGAAGATGTCCGGTTGGAATGCATCCGTAACCTTTACTCATTTCGTGTATCCCGGATGTGGGACTCTCTTCTGATTTCTGTCGTCTTCGCTCCTACGCTAACGGAACTCAAAACTCACCTTGAAGACGCCTTATTCAGCTGTATTATATGATTTGGTCCATGGTGTTAGACCACAGCTTAACGTTACTAAACCAATTGCATACGTGAGCCTTACGGTGAATCCATCGATATGCCTTATCAATACCGATAAAATTCCCTTTTGGTTATAACCTAATCACCCAAAAGACTTGATAGGTATTTGTCCTTTTCTCATAATTAGCTTATTGTTTCACTGTCGCATTCAACTTTTTGCTGCTAATCTTATAATGCACTGGACAGTCAGGATTCCGCAAGATCGCGAGCCAATTTATAGCCGTTTTTTTGAAATGTTACTGCTTAGCATTCGGTTAGTAAACCAAGTTACTTCCTATTCCTCGGCATAAAGATTTACGCCTCTGTGTGCAAATGAGTTTTCCCATACTTGGCACCACACATTCTTGACTTAGCTGCGTAAGTCAACAACTGGAACTGCCGCCCCTTGGTCATGGGATAGCAGTTTAACAGCTGAACTGATATGACGGATCTTCCAGGTGGCTCTATGCATGATCAGACTATCTCATTGATAAACCAAAATAACTAGTGCATCGACGTAGCCACCTTGATGGTAATCTTGATGTTCGTAGCCTCGAAAATCGTCTGCGCTCACTCCAGCTTGACAACGAGTTAAAATCTGAAAGGCAAACTCAGGGTGTAGCGTACTTTTCGAATGCCCTATCTGAAGGATTCCCTAAAATTCCCATCACCAACGTGGCTAGGTGTGTTAAATTTCTCGAGCAACAACAATCATATTCTATGCCATAAATAATATCTACTGGATATCAAACCATGCGTTAAACCAGCGCCGTACCTCGAAGCTAAGACAGTATCAGCTGGAGAAGACAACATTACGTGGCTACTTGGATTGGTAGAGAACGTTACTCCGTTCTTGTGTGCCCTATCTCTAGAACGCTGGTATGTTTGCGGATACTGTTCGCAGACTGACACCCCCATTTCAAGTATCACTAAGTTCGTGATGTAAATATCCTGTTGCTACCTCAAAAGTGACCCGTCTGCTGTTTTTTTGCAATGAAAGACGATATGAGGAAAGAGAGTTTTGTTTCACATCACTTTTTCTACCTTATCTTGGAAGTATAACAAACACTGAACTTTATTGGGTGTGTTGGTTCCTTTTCGTCTATTTTCTTCAAATGTCAGCTCGATCAGTCGATGGGAAATGTACTGAACTTATGCTGTTAGGTACCAGTAACAGAAGCGCGTTATTAACAGCCGTTAGCAGTAGGGTACTAGTTGAACCAAATCACTTTAAAGTGGTGAACATACTTTACGACATGACATCAGCGGTCACGAGACTGTTCTATCCTTCTCCTTATGCAATCTCTTCCCTACCCCAACGCACCACAGATAATGAATGCGTGACGGGTGGAATGCAGTTGACACCTGAATGTGTGCGCACGCAGTCCGGTTTTGCCATTCGGTTCAACGTTCAGGAACCTTCAGCCTCCGATTCGTACACACTGTATCAGACCGACGCAGGCGACGATCCTGATAGACAGCTGGCCAAGGCAGCGAATCCAGTGCAGAATCTTCAAACGGAATTAGACGGTAAGCCATATGGGGTATGTTCGAAATGGTTGTGTCATGGTATCCTGGGTTGCAATATTCCTAGTTGTCGCCAGGCTTCTGTTATCCTCTTCATCCCATCTTGGCTCACTGTACTTCCCCTTGATTTTACTTGGTTCCACTGCAACCATGTGTCAGTTGAATCACTGGCAACTTGGTTAGCTGGACTTCCAAATCCGGTTAACTATCTCTCCAATCGTAACTTCACTTCCGTTTCACCCGCTGGCACACCTACCATTCGTTTGTGAAAACACTGACGTTTTGGTAGGTAAAGCACCCGGATCCTTTCTTTACATCCTCAACCCACCTTGCTCCCCAACACTTAGCTTCGGTTTTCACTTGACCATATCTTGCTGGTGAATCAAGCGACACATTGTCAACATCGATATGTTTGCCACTCAGGACTACTGTAACCTCATAAACATTTCACTGGCGTTCTGTTGGACCAATTCCCTGCATAATCAAACTTCTAGCGCGGTTAGCCAAACTACTAAAGGTTCGGCATTCTTGTTCACAGCCCACAACCCACACATCTTAAATAATCCGAAATCCGTATTGCGCCTCATAATTGTAAACAACATCTGCAATACAATAATAAGGTAGTTGCTTAAATAGTTCCCTCTTTCACTGTGCAGTAATGTGGACTTATTTTTCCCTGTTAGCCAGACCCATACTGCTGTTCCTTATGCTGAGTCCAGAAATTTGGTTGCAAGACCCTCCCCACACTATATTATTCTCGATTCCACACATGTACATAATTCCCTAGGAAGTTTTCGGCCTCCATCGCACTAATACTTACTAATACTTGCTATTTCCCTTCTATTTACGTTGATCCGGACCACAACTCGTTCAACGGTACGATGAGATACTTGCTACCGAAGAAAGTTGGATCTGCATAAGAATAAATTACAACTTGAATCCAATCCCACTCAATACGAATCTCCTCGCATCCGATAAACAATTTCAGTTTCAGAGAAAACTTGTACATAATGATCGGTCCAGGGTCTCTGGAACGTGTCTCACCTTTCTTAGAAATGTACCTATTATCATTATTGTTACTGAGTCTAGACGATAGAGTACGAGTAGCTTTACCTAACTGTTTACGTCGTTATGAGGGCGTTAAACGACTAAGCTGCTTGTAGATGTTAATATATTGTCTGGACCATGCTATTGGGCACCAAACCATCATCGATGCATAGGAGCTGTACATGAGTTTACTCTACTTGAAGCACGATGTATATTGCCAACAGTTTTAACGCAAACATCCATCAACATGCGGTTATCAAAATCCCAACTTAGCTACGTTGAATACATTCGGGCAGCTTATAGAAGCTGGGGTGTTTTTTTTGGGCATATCTGATATTAGTTAAAGTGTCGATAGGTTTCGTAATATCCTGGCTAATTTGCTTTAGTTTCTTCCATATTCTTATCCTCCTGAGATTTGTATACAATACTTTCGTGTTTTCGATATTTCTGCTTATTTTATCTTCCGATCTTTGATTCGATTAGCCTTTGCATGCAGTGGGGTGAATGTGAAGTATGTATGAGTGAGTGGCCCTTACTGACTAGCATTCTCAGGTCTGTGTACTCTTATCGACTGCATTGGCCACACGCCAACTCTGTTTCTAAACTTGAGCAACTTGAGCTTCTAGGGCTGCTCGATCTTGGTGAACACAAACACATCCAGAGCATTCCAACAATTCAAACTCTTTCTGCTCCCACTAATATCACAGTTCATTGGTTTTAAGTTTGACAGTGTGTTTGTCAGGTAGCTACATTTCGATTTCTTTAAACCACGTTAAAGAGTTTGATAATTATAAATATAGCAGAAGTCTGTTGATGACGACGAAAGCCTCCTAAAGAGGATCTCTTCATATAAAGCATTCCAAATCATCTCGTTTGGGAGCACCTACTCGGAAGCGTCGTCAACCGACAAGCATTTGAGAAATCTGGAGACTGCTATTTTTGTTAAACACCTTTATCCATTCCGGGACAAATCCATGTTCTGGCACACGGAAATCTCCGATTGATAGAGTTAAGTAACCCGATCATTTCAAATGGCCAACCATGGTAGACATCGACCCATAAACGATTGTGAATGGTCGATTCGTGCCATCAGCTTGAATGATTTTGCTTCGACTGACGTCGTTTTTATTTGTGACGATGTTGGATTCATCTCACTTTTTCTATTATCCCTTCTCCCACCAACAGCAGCGGATGTGACCTTGAATATCGTAGCATTATCAGACAGTGAAAATGCCAATGAATCACAAATGGAGTTAGCCGTGATCGTCCAATCGAAAGTGAGCCTCACTCGTTTGCCATGCGGGTAGCATTTTCACTGAGTTTGAACTGTCCTATTGGATGTTTTTATTAATGTGGCCAGTTTGGCTAATATATAGATATTTTGATGTAATTAAGTGAGGTTCTTCGCAGCCAGTTTCCAAATCAGATAGTCGTCCAGTGGCATAAGCTGCTGACTGGCGGTTCGAGCCGCTGGTGGTCATGGGTTCAAATCCTGATGGGTCCGATGGATGCGCACTACTGATGATGCCCAACAGGCTGAAGCTGCAGTATAGTGCTTTTCCGGGCATGTGGACGGCTATCCGATTTGGAAACTGGCTGCGAATAACCTCACTTAATATATAGATATGTTGAGGACCTCGTCCTAAGTTATGTAGACCTAGTCTTCAGGGATTCATCAAACTTCCAACATGGATTCGATGGACCCATTACTTGGTCGAACTTCCGGTTCAAATCTCTTATCCCTTCCAAGTACTGTGGCCTATGGCTCTCTATTCTGTACTTCAATAACTTGCGTTCCTTTTCAAATACCTTCCTTCCTCAGCCTGTGAGTTAACCGAATATCTCTTATTCATCTACCGTAAGTATCTAAATATATTTTGTTCCAACCCTTATCCTGGTCTGCACATGTTTTTGAAACCTCTGAAGAATTCAATATACTCCCTTTTTACTCTCACAGACTCAAAATCTTCACCGTACCAATGCTTTATTTCTAGCATTTGTAACAACACATGGTCTCACTCACTTGTTAGATTATTCCCCAGCTATTTGCTTCAGGATTCCTCAAGAGAATTACATTCTTCTTGTTACTTCATTGAAATTTAGTTCATGGTGCTATGGATTAAGGTGACAATTCCTTGTTGATGGTATTTTCCACAATCATTTCTGCGCAGGCATAAAGTTTTCAACCAAAATCACCAATGACCTCTCTCACACCCTACACGCTGTCCAAACCAGTATGGCAACTACCTCTTTTGGATGGTTGAAATTTGAAACTTTATTTTCAGGCATCTGGTCACGTCGGAATTCTTGCCATATTTGTCATGCTTATTATTCCACCAAGTGGGAATGATATACTAGTTATGTGACCAGAAGCTTGAGTGAAGGTGGATTTTGTCGATTTTCCCATCCGTTTGTATTTTTCATTAATTCCATATTATAATTTATCGCAGTACTCATGCAAAGTGATGCAAAATTACGGTCATGTGTTGGTGGATGGTTCAATCGGGCTTGACTCAATTGTGCTTCATCTACGTCCTCCCGAAGTTCTGCCGGGCGTTAACTTCTACTGGTGCCATGGACAGCATTTACGACTAACCCATTTTTTACTACTCTCAGTTCTGCTCAGTAGTATATGTGAAAGCCAATCATACGTAACCACATGTGCAGCATCTTCTCGAACAAACAGCCATCAATAAGTAGCGTTTTACACTTGTCCAGTTCACGAACCGGTTTACATCAGTATTCCCACATGCATTTTATCGAACAAACAGACTTTAACCCATTTCTCTACTTTGTTCCGTTGCTTGTAAATTTGAATTAGCTGATGAACTGGAGAATAATTGTCTACCTTGTTACCGATTTCGTTCATCGATGTTTCGTGTCTTGCAACTTGTGCGACATAACAGTTGATATTAGTGATGTCAGATGATGTTGGAAACAGTGAGAGCATAGCGACAGAAGTTGGATCCTCTTGGGTCTTCCCAAAACACAACACACACAGCTTTAGAAGAGTATCTAACTGTTGAATGGTTATGACAATGGTGTTCTCATGAAGTGGTGTCTGCTTAGTTCGCCAGTTGTCCACCAGTAAGCTTGAAACTTAGCACTTTCCTTTGGCAAAAAATCTACCCGAATATAGGTTAATGTAGGTCCAGTACGTTATCTTAAATCGAAATAATAAGTTTGCAGAAGGATACCTCAATGTAATTAGCTACAATTGCGTAGAGTACCTCGACAAGTGCCTATAAGTTACTTGGGGACGTACTTATTGGCATAACTATCGGAACGCATATTTCGAATGACCTTTGGTAAGACAGAGGTCATACCTTTCATCTGACTGTCAGCGAATAAAAAGCTTGAAACATATGCTCTTAAAAATTTACCCAATACAATCGCAGCGAAGGAAAATGAATAATCAAAGTGAATTATTTAGGTAACCTGACAGTTATCAAAAACTGGCCACTGTAATCTAAATCGTGCACGATGCGAGCCTATAACCACCAGTGTAGGAAAGTACAAGGAAACAGGGAATCGACCATCACATGAGTATTCTAAATATGATGAAACAGGGAAACCAAAGCTGGCCGTGTGCAGTTCACGAATGCTGAGCTCACAGTGTGAATTTCATCCAAAAGTTTACGGTCGGTCAGAATTAGCACTTGACTTGTCCAATCAATCCTAGCAGGTGAGGCCGACTCTGAGCAGTCAAAGTAACATTTTTGAGAAAACGCTCTTTTCCCCAAATTCGGTTCCTCAGAATGCCATTAAAAGTTTTTGTATGCCCAAAACCGTCCTTACAAAAACACTACAGGAAGCAAGATTTGCGATCATGATGTGACGCAACGTGAATGGGGCTTGCGATGAAAGTGCAGTATATTCCCGAAAGCAGCGATTATTGAGAGGATATAATTGTTTGTGTCACAAGATCCTCCTCTTTCAGTTCAACCAGATGATTCATAGAAAAACGTTTTTCAACACACATTCAATGAACAGTGATTTATTACGTTGTAACATCAAGTGCTTGACACGTCCCGTAGGATGGTTTGGATGAATACGATGAAATCAAAATACACGTGGGTCTTCTACCAAACATCCGCCGAGATAAATACTTTGATAAATAACACCAAATTAAAAAAAATCGGGTGTAAACATGCAGAAACACACTGGGGTGCAGTGATGATTGATATAGTTTTGAGAAAAGTAATATGCGGTCGCTCACTTGGGTCCATTTGGTACACAAATCCTGTAGAAAGTATGCTTGACGCAATCCACAATACAGAAGTTCAGATAACGAAATGTTGAGAGCTAAGAGCAACGTCTAATCGTTTTTTGAAAACGTTCAAGGTAGGGGAGGATACAACTGAGTCTGGGAGTGCGTTACAGGGTTGGCAAACCCGAAAGGAAAAGTAATTCCAGCGATGCTCTAGACGGCTATATTGTTCCTTCAGTTTTAATCAGTTACCCATTAGCTGCGTGTTGTGGATACGTTTCAGCAAATGGCGTCATACGTGGTGGGAGTCACTCAATATCTTATACCCTAATATGAGATGACCGCGCAGCCTTCGATAACGTCCGCTGAAAATTCCCAGCAAATCCAGCCTTCGGTGGTAAGAGTGATTGCTCAGGCCCTTTACATTCTTTGTTGCTCTTCGTTGTGTTTCCTCTAACGCCTCTAGGTCGCGCTTCAACCAAGGTTGCCAAGCATAGATAGTGTATGCAACATGCGGGCGCACGAAGAAATTGTGATCATTGGGAAGATTGATGGGTAAATGCTCCCGAATGCCCCTCGCAGCATGCCGATGTGCTGGTTGCTCTTTTCGCAACTACCTCAGCCTGTTTTGAACAGTTGTGCTCGCTCTGTACGATCACACCAAGGTCACGTTCCTGGGAGGTGGTCTGCAATCCGTTTGTCCCAAGTAAATAGGTGTAGTTATGTCTATGTCGTAATTGTGCAACGCCACATTTGTCTACGTTGAATGGTAGGGCGTTTTGAAGTGACCAGTTCGACACTGCGTTAAGATCGCTCTGGAACCGTTCATGGCCGTCCGGTCCTCTGATCTTTTGCCTAATCTTGATATCATTAGCGAAAATAGGAAATCGGAAGCAAATGATCTCGCCAAATCGTTAATGAACACCAAGAATGGACGAGGTCCAAGCACCAAGCTTTGTGGTACTCCACACGCCACATCGATTGCATCAGATGTTGATTCTCGGACTCTCACCACTAGCCGTCGGTAGTGTAGAAAATGGCCAATCCAACTCAGGATTGGGTCGCGAATGCCGTAGTTCCGAAGCTTCTGAATTAGAATTCGATGGTCTATGTGACAAAACGCTTTTGAGAAGTCCAGGTAGATGACATCGACCCCTACTTCATCATCAACAGCTTCAGTCCAGCTATTTCATGCAATTCATAGGTTAGTATTACACGAATGCTTTTGACGAAAGACATGTTGCTCTGGAGCTATTAACCTGTGGCTTTCCAGATACTGCATCAGCGCATCTGCGATGATTGATTCCATCACTGTGGATAGTAGGGGAAGTAATGTTATTGGACGATAGTTGGCAGGATCAGTGCGACTACCTCCTTTATGGATAGGAGTGATGACCCCTCGCTTCCATACCGGTAGAATACGGTTTTCTTCTAGACATCGCTGATAGAAAACAGCCAGTGGTTCTGCTAGATCACTACCAACCACCTGCAGAGCCTTTGATCGGATGTTTTCGGCTCTGGGAGAACTATGGATACGCAAGGATAACAACTTCTTCAACACAGTTACCGCAGTGAAGGTGTTGTCTAAACCAGATGGTGGTGTATTAGAAATGAGGAGAATGTTTGGGCTCCTTACATGCTGGAAAGTCTGGGAGTAATGAAGCCGTGGGATATCGGCTGCTTCCATTGCTGATCGTGTGCATCCATCAGCCGTGACTAGTGCTGGAACCCTCCGCATCACCTTTCGAAAGCCGTTAACGTGTCTGTACAGAAGTTTGCGGTTCGTGCAGAATCGGTTCATTAACGTCTGCTGATGCGTGACATTGTCTTCGCGGATCAGTTTCACACAGGAGTTACGATATGTCACATATACAGTCCAGGTTTTGGCATTCGAGCAGTCCTTATGATCTCGTCATATCAAATCCCTCCGGGACATACATTTACCTGTTCTGCTCCTCAGAAATGACTTATGCTTGCTTTTGGGTAGGAAGGACTTCTGTTCCGGTGCGTGCTCAACCAGTGTGCTAAAAGTCCTTTTAAAGGTTTCCCAGGCAACATCTGGGGGGCATTTGGTTAAGAAAGTCCAAGATGTATCCTTAGCAAGCGTAAATAACACATTTTAGTGTGTGACATTATGCACTTTATCATCCTCCTTTTCAGGGTACTCCGCATGGCATATAAAATCAATAAGCAGAGTAACATGAGCCCTGTGACCCAGTGCTGTGCTTGTAACTACCCCGTCAACCATGAGTTCTTCATTAGTTAGCATAAGATTCAGTATCGACGGCTTGTTAGCAGTTCGAAATCTGGTGGGAGTGGTTCCGTGGTTGTACAGAGGGTGGCTAGTATTTAGTTCTTGCAAGCAAGCTTTAAACTGCGTACCGTCGGTTGCTGTCGTTTCTATGTCTTGGACGTTAAATTCTCCAGCGATAAGAATGTGGGTGTAGTAATTGTTCAAAGCAAACCGAAAGATGTGGTTCAGTTTGGAGTCTATTTCCGATGTAGAGTATGATGCGCTAGTAGACATGTGTCCTTGTTTCGCAACAATGGGCGGCACCAAAGCGAATCGGGAGCGCGGATTTCTGGGTGATCGGTAGCTTCACAACAGCCATGAAGTTGTTGTGATGTATCAGAGTTATGGAGACAACTAACTGGAGGTGTTCGGATTGACTCTTCTCGTTTCCAATGAAAACGTTTGATAAGGTAACAGTAGCCAACCTGTGGCTGTCAGATTTTTTGGATTAATACACCGAGTAACGTGAATGCATGATTGTCGTTAATGTGTTCAATACCAGTGTCTATTCGGTTTGCATCTGACTGACTACATGATTAATCCTTCATGTTAGACCGTCCATTCATACGTACTACGTTCGCCAGTGTCGTGCCAACCCTAACTGTTGGTGTCTGTATTCATTAGATTATTGATATATGGTAATGTGGACGGCCGTTGTGCCGTAACATGTTAGTAACATCAATTTTACTATTTATGAATGATGTATTTTGCAGGATGGTATACGAGTGTTAATCGCGCAGCCATCCACGAACAAATCAAGTGCTGGGCTGCAAACACTGCATTTGTGACATAACTCATGCGTCCAATGATATCATGCCCTACCACGAATGATTGGTCCTTCGTCGCTGCCACATTTGACTTGGTATTTGTTGCATAACCGTCAATCGTATTTCCTCCTGCACTGTCGAGTTCTAGTTAGGCCAATCACTTGCCGGTTGTAGTTACTTGCTTGGATCATCGAATAACGCACTGATTTTGGTATTGTTCATGCTATTCTTCTGTTTGTCTGATCTTTCAGACATTTCAGCCACAATGTGGTGTTCAAAAATATTACTGTTGGATCTAATCTGCAGTATCGGCTGCGACCAATGAGATTTTGAAATACGCTCTCGCTTCGAACTACTATTCTCCTTACGTACCGTTCAGCGCACTTTTTGAATTTAAATGCTTAATTTATTGGTACCATAGTAGCTCTTAGCTCCTTCCATACGATTTAGGCATTAAGAGTTGAAGGTATGTCCGCTGTTGTATACAAACCTTCAACTATAATCTTCAATATTGTGAGTTGCCACAAAGATCTAGAACAAGCAGGAAGATCAATAAAGTTGTCACCTTGCAGTTTTGTCATTAAACACTATTTATACTTAGTAAAAGTTTACTGATTTGTGAGTCGTAGGAAGTATAAATCTTATTGATCATTCAGCGCTGTCCGATTTCTTGTCTTTGTTGCAGGTCCTCGTGGACAACAGCGCCTGTCACCGAATGCTTGTTGCCCTGGACCCCACTTGGTCCTTTCCTCAACGACTAGAGAATCCGCTGACTACTGCGGAGACATTGTTCACTATTTCGGTTCCAAACGATTTGAAGCTACTCACTATGGAATTAGAGTTACGAGTTGAAGCTTCGGATGACACCAAGTCCGACCTAGTGACCAGACGATCGTTAACTGTGGCCAATCCTCGTGAGTTTCACCTTTTTATTCCAACAGTACGTGATTCATCCTATTCGTCGTGTAACTGTTCAAGAGTTAAAACAAATGCTGAGAAGCAGCCGAACTCTCTAATTTATCAGCAATATGACCGTTTGCACTGAGCATAAATTCGAAATGGCATTCCAGTGTGACAGCTTTCCACAGGCTGTTTCCCTTTTGTTGCCTTTCCTATCATTCGACTGCATTCAGTGACTTGTAAGCCTTCTTCTTCTGTTATAACCTGTATAATCCATACCCACTCTACCTTGGGTCTCGTTGAAATTTTTCTGTGCTAACTCACTCCAATTCTGTGCTATCCTGTTTGGCTCGCGTGAGCAGTACTTGGTTCGTTTTCTGTCCTCTCAGTCGGCGTCCTCTTCGCTCCCTAACTTGACGAGTCGATATTTCCCACCATGCCTGGTTCGTACTTGCTCTGCGTTCTCCGAACATTGCTGTCCAGGGGGAGGCAATCCGATGTATTTTCCAGTAGTGACGCTAATGTTTCTCTGATCTACACGACATAAATTCTGTCGGATTTCTCTTGCCCTTGCGCTTGTGGTTGCGTCGTGTGACCAGTATTGTACTGATTTGTCGTCCCTTCGTCAGCATCAACTTCTCTCCTAGAGTTACCGAGTACCAACACGATTCCCTGTTAAAAAGACAACATTTGAGCTTGGAGAGTTTCGGAGCTGGTCTCTCCCAACATTTCACTCCATGACCGAACGGTTTCGTCCTGATTTGGACTCGCCAGGCAGTGATACTTTGAGCTGAGAATGGAACCCCAAACATAATTGTTGTCGGTTCTTGTCACTAAACCAGAGCTATGGGAACAGGGCTTGATACAACGGCTAGCATTTCCTTGTTTCAAAGCATTCCGTAGCCTCATTCGAGATTACGTGCGTAATCCAGACAACCAGCGAGTAATTCAAGACCCAGTAATCAATACTTAGACACATTTTCTTGCGTGTGGGATTGGTGTGATCATCTGAGGGAGACGCAGTCGATTAATCCAAACATGCAATGAGGAATGATTTATAACGAATGAAAAAGCAGGTGCTTGAGATGTCCCGTGGGGTGGTTAGAGTGAGAAAAGATAGATCAAGGGATAATCGAAGCATCGGTTCGGCCGATTACGGATTTAACTGGCCTGCCGTATAAAGGGAGTTGAAATTGGTATCTGCGCACACAAAGCAGTAAGAGGAGTGGTTATTGATCACGTTGTAAGCGAGAAAAAAATAAGAAAATATCAAGGACAACGCTTACTCGTGTGCAACTTGGGTCGACGGGGTACAGAAATCCAGTTTCTATAGTAGTAGCGTTTATCGAATTTGTGCAAGGGGTTTGGAGTGACTCATTCTCGTGTAGGGTTATGGCACTATCCCCTGTCTGTTGTGCATTAGTACCAGCATCTGGTGGTCATGGGCTATAGCACGTAGTGTAAATGTGACAGAGTATCGTGAAGACGTTTTTTGAAAAAGGATAGGGTGGGAGGATAAATTGCATATTCCGGGAAGGCGTATCAAGGCTGTGACACCCGAAGGGAGAAATAGTTTCACCGACATTCCAGGTGGCTGTACTGCGTGACCAGCTTAAAGTGATAATCTCTTAGCGGGGTGTTTTGACTGAGTATCAGTCATGCTGGGTAATGTTTACTACACATATGCTTGTCAGTTTTTCTAATGATACTGAGGTACCAATACAAAATGAGCATATCTCTCAGCTTTCGTCTTGTTACTGTGCTTGTCAAATTGCTGGAGGGAACTAATTAATTTAAATTACATTAGCTTATCTAAGTTAGCAATAACCGAACGGTATTCGCAAGAGGAAACAATCCTTACGTTTTCGATAAGTGAATCATTCTATACATATTAGTTCACACGGACACAGATTTGTGCAACCTACTGGAGACTTTTGTTATAATTAACTCAGTGGTCTACTTCATGTTTGCGTTCACTTGAGCTACTTAGTGAAGCAAATTAACACATTACGTATCAGTCAGATTCGCATAGATTTCTTGCCATCAGTGGGGCATGGTAACGAGTGCGGTTACTAAACTGACAGCTTGTTACTTATACATATAAAAGTTCAAACCAATGCTGGTTGGTATGAACTACCACATTTTACTCGTGCGAAAAATGACAGAATCTTTCTCCATCTGCCAGCCCATCAGTATTCCCCATTGTGTTTTTATTAGTGGCGACACAATTTCTGACCTTATAAGGAGTTTTATAGGATGATATATATTGGGCGAATCAACTTTACAAACGACAGTTAAGGTAGGTATTTAATCAGACTAAGTTCCTCAAAGCTAAGGTGAACCGGGTAGATCGATTTTCTATCCTGTTGACACTGGTTTCGTCTTGTTTCCAGTCAAATACTCTGCTCAGTGCCATACAGTTGAATCGACCACCGGACGCTAGTGTTTACCCATTTAATGAGATAGCGATCAACGAAGGACGCAAGGAACACTGCGGAAGATCGTTTACATTGAACTCAAAGTACTACAACTACTACTGCAGCAAAGTCTTGAGGCCAGCGGCTAACTAGTTCTGCTCGATTTGTTTGCATCCACAATTATTTGACTGTGATGGTGAAGAGTGTGCCCTACCAAATGCCCCTATGAGGAATAGAATGTTTAAATGCGATATTGCGCCACGAATGTTGCAGTAACTCATGGCGAAATGCTGCTGAGTAGATTGGCGCAGTGATATACTTCGGCGTGGGTATCATGCCGTCAGCGTTTCGCGTATCGCTACTCGGTTGGACGAAAACAAATAGGTCGTCCACCGAACCTCAACTAAGTGTGATCACTCGTTCAAGTATGAAATTTGTTGTATCACGTCTGTGATTCGACCCACCAAAAAATAACTGCATGCAACGGTACGACGGGAAATATTGACTTTTCGTTTGTGAATGTTTAGAGAAGAGTAGTAGGGGGAGTTGAATGGTATAAGTAGAATTTCGTCACATCTAGACTCACGCAGACAGCCGCCACACGCCCGGAAAAGCACTGTACGCGCTATATCGGCGCTATATCACATCTAGTAACTTATTCAAGATGGTCGTTGCCGTCCCCCGTAGCTCAGTGGTCTCAACCACGGACTGGCAACAGTCGAGTTGCGGGTTCGAGCCCTACCAGGGGTCCAATGGAATGCGCACTGCTGATGATTCCCGAAAGGATGAAACGCGTTTATGCATGTGCAAAGCCGCTTCACAACTTGATCAGTGTTTACGAATCGGAGACTTTAGACCATTCGTGTTCGATCACCGTTGCCAACGAAGTACTGTCATTACTGATGGGAGCGATAGTTGCGCAGCACTGAAGTCTACTATGGCCTGGACTCGGTGACATGTTGCCCAACGCCGCACCGATGTCTACTGACCCCAAACCACCTAAGCTTTCCAGGTCATATCCTCTGAGTGCCTGAAAAACAGCTGCCACGACGTGCACAGCGCATCAAAACCTTGTCTGGTTGAATGAAACCCCGAGGTGACCAGTTAGTAGCGCCAGGCATACACAATGTAGAAGAGATTATGCCTTTTGTCAGATGGCGTGATACTACCCGGCTGCACAAACCGGGAGCTGGAGTTGTCTTAAGACGCACCACCCCGAGCACCTGGCTAACTGGCCTGCCTGTGATGCAGTGGAGCGAATTCACGGAATCCCGTCCATTAGAACCCGATGTCTGATTGCTCAACTCATATGCCTTTCATTTGGTCAGTTACCAGAGAGGGTCCCAATCCTCAACACAACTTTAGAATGAGAAGGCTGAAGTAAAATGCTTCATTGTAGCAAAACAAAGAGCAGTATCTTATCCAGTGACCAGTCACATCCGTCACGTCATGGTGTTATTAAACGGGTATTTGTGGCATTTTATAGGGAAAACGTGTGCCAGGCGGAAACCCAAAACAACCTGAAAACTGCCACCGATCCATTGGCTGGAACCGGAGATCTTGAAGTTTCCGGTTGGCACCACCAGGATTTTGTCCCGCTAGCCAGCCAATGAACCACATGGTAGGAAATTATGGAGGAACTCAACAAAACGCAACTTGTGTTGGTGATTTTCTTTTTCTTGGATCGGATTCTCGAGATTTATGGTCGGATAATTGCCGGATAGCACACAGTCACGAGATACATGGCGCTTTACTTTCGATTCACCATTTCTAGCTTGTGACGATCCCGGATGTTCCATCTTGGAGTCTGTCCAACCCATATTGCACCTGTCTCCATCGTTCTCACTTCGTGTAGTTCTCGTCTATTCTTGCCCCTTGTATGACGACCAGAGAGAAAACCAGTAGGTTCGATGTACCTGGGCATTCGGCTCATTCATTGTCTTCTCACTGTGCTGAACTGATTGCACCCGAAGCATAACATGGAGTGGCTGAATGACTGAAACGTTGGTTCGGATAGTGAGGTTATCGCCAAGCGTACAGAATTAGTACACGAACTACAGTCTTATCACAGCCATCCAGCCTTGTCAACGAATTACCAACGCGTTCCGTGCAATTTGAGGGCATTCGGCTACCAAAGTGTCTGCCGTCGCCAGTCACTGAGACTACGAAAGGAGACCAGCTGACATATATGGTTGGCGGCATCCGGTTTCGGATTTGCCTGTCACTGTGGCCAACCACAGGACGCTTGCGCCTACAGAGGGACCATGGGTGGCTTGCGCTGCACCACCCACAGCTCCAACCACACACCCATATCCAGTGTAAACTGGAAGGAATAAGACCGGGAGGCATGTAGATGGGAGCCACGTTTCATCAAAGTAGCCGGCCCATACTTCTTCACAGGCAAACACAAGCACGCTGTAGTTGGGAATCAATCGCACACAAGGCGGTGGTTGGACCGTAGTCCACTCCACACTGAGTGCATGGAACCACTCTTCGAGCCTAACACGGCCACAAGAACCGTGCACCCCGTCCTCTCCAGCAACGACCAACTAGCTCCTAGAGACAGTATGGACGAGGTAGTGCGTAATAGACAGGTAGACACCTTGCCAACATGCACATCAAGCGCAGCCGCACCGGGGATGTCAAACAACACCAAATCACCAGCTGACAACACCTTTAATAATTGACTGATGAAACAAGTAACACGAAGTGAAAAATGAAATCAGTGACAATAGTAAAGTTTGCAAGGTTAAAAGTGTAGAAGTTGAGTGAGTTTGTCAGGTTTTTCCACGAATGGGCGATAATCCACACCTTAAACCAACCAAGGGAAATGGCATGTAAGTGAAGAGAAACTGAACTGTTAGAACATTTAGACAGGAAAATTAACTCCGATAAATACAGAATTAAATCAACTGTATGGTAACATAAAATTTGCTATTAATTATTGTTATGTAGGCTGTTTCTGTTAAAGAACTGCGTATCCACTAAAATAGCCAACGTTCTTTTCTCAAGCTTGAGATTATTTGTACTTTTTGTGACACTAGCGCAGGGAGGTCGTAGGGTATCGAGATGGCCCTTCCGAGAATCAAAACATGGACTGGGCAGCGATCAACCTCGTAGTAAGGAATAAATAGTCATTTCATATCCCCCACAAATTTGAAGCATTATTTTACGGCAGCACGCATTAACTGTGTGGTGCACTACTAGTGAGTAGTATGTGTGGAAACGAAGCGACGCAGGGAAATTAGTGCAATTGTGGATCGCTGCAGATGATGAGCATGTAATGCACAAACCTACTTCCACCGACACGTAGTGAATGAAGGGACGCAGCGGAACGGAGAACTGTTAAGATACCATGAAGGAAGTGTATAAATAGGCCCGAGTTTCTATCTCAACTGTTGAAATAACTAGACTTACGTTCTCTAGTACGGAACTCGTTTACACCGTACTGTCTTCCCGAAAAGCCGCTGATTCATGCTAGCTATTTGCTTGAATTCCTTCGTTTGCATTCGTCGCGCGTTCGCAGTTGTTTGAATCACTTTTGTGTTTACTGGAACGAAGTCGCGCTCCGTTCGCAATACCGAAAATAATTCCGGGGATATGTATCCAGTTCTTGTAAATGAGGTTGAGTTGCGCCGGCAGCAATAATCTGCTTTCCACTCGTTGGCTGTGTTTGTTCCACTCGCTCGGTAACGCAGCCATTATCTCATCTTGCGTCGTCCGTTCATGGTCAGTGTCGCGCACGCGCACCTGACCCGCCTTCGTACATGAACAAAACCGTGTTTGACTCACAACACTGCAACCCATCTATCCACATTGTTCATCCGCCCGTGTACTCGTGGTCAATTGGCGCTGGTGGCACTGACTGGCTTTCCAGTATACTCGCCGCGCTTCGGTTTCACTCGCGTAACCTGCCATCTACCGACAAAATGCAACCTAGTCGACCTTTTGGTAGAACCATTCAATTTGCGCCATCACAATAAATGCTTTCAACACTTTCAATCCACACACGCTCACCTCGTTTTCCACAGGTGGTTATGAAATTAACTTGATGGTGATGGAATCTGAGGGATTGATCAAGTGGCCTGCGATTCCCTCATCGTTTCACCAACTTTTGGACAAGTATGAAGTTGAAGTTTTTAACGAGTACAGCGTCTGCGGGGTTCTCAGTAAACTGGACAACCCAGAAGTGCAACAGGAATTACGTAAGTTCGCTTAAATCTCCACTAATTCTCACCCACTTGCAACAGAACGTCCGGGATCTAGGCCATCCGGGACTTGCAACAGTTGCTGCTATTTTAGGGTGCTTCTTGACAATACTTTGGCCGGAGGTGTTTCTTTGCATTTATCAAGTGTACGACGTCCCGGGAAACTGTGGTTTTTTCCACTATGTTTGTCCACCAACCACCTGTGCAGTTGTACAGACGGGTATGTTACTTAGTCTAGGTACCATAGTAACTGTCAACAGTAGATTCTGAGCTAACTCATTTCGGATTGACAAACAAAGAGCTGGTGTGGTAAGCCTCTGAACTGTATTTAAATTTCCTTAGATCTATTCATCCTGAGATTAGAATGTGTACGCACTTATTCAAGAAAGTGAATACCACAAAAGCCATTTCATTAGCCTCGGCCTATGGGTTCTGCCTGGGGAAACCCTTATTGTTTACTTTGGGTCATTGTTTATTTAGGTTACTAAATTAGTTGGGTAAGGCGTTCACCAGATGAACAATTGCTACTCGCAAAACGTGGTCTTTCATGGGACGATATCATAAACAAAGACTGTTTAAATAGTAGTAAGATCTTGATCGACACAGCCTTGCCGTTACTTCATCAGTAGGGAAGAGATGCTACTCAACCTTGAAGGAAATATGGTATAACCTCCATCAGCTGACCACTTAAAGGACTGAATCAAAATGATCAACCTAGGGAGATGGTCAATATTTGAAGATCCTGCACAACATCTTGACGCACTCTACTTATCCCCCTTGAGCTGTACCGCATAAACTTTGTATACAATCACATTTTGTTTCGAATGCATTTGATAAGCTCTTACATAATGACAAACCCAGTTAACTCATACAGTATTATGATACATTAAGCGCAGTGTGGTTTGCCAAAAGTTAAATCATTTTGTTGAAAGAAGTGAATCCTTGTACGCTTCTTTGTCTTATCACGAATGCAACTGAACTGGTCGCAACGAGACTGGACCTTAACGTGGTGCGACCGTTTGCTTACCTCATTGACCCATTGAGCTATACTGGGTGATGCCGCCGGGCACCTTGAGAGCTACTCCTACCAGGTTGGTCAATGGTGAGAAGTCAGACAAACTCAGCCTCCTGCTCCTCCAGGTTGGGGGTTTGAAATGGGACGGCGTCCATTTCTGAAAAACTAAATCAATGCCACCTCCCTACGTCCTTGCGGATAGGCTTTTGAGTCAAAGGATTTGGATGAGGACCCTAATCGTCCTCCTGTCTAGGTCTGGACGCCCTGACAGTATCTCAGCCCACATACAACCATGACATTTTCTTCAAACACAAACCTCATCCTGCATCGGCCGTCGCGCAGATTATCAAGGGTCGCCTTATCTGCTGCATACAGTAGGGTGGATAAGCGAAAACATGCTAGTGCTGGCGTTTCCCTTCTTTTTTTTCCACCTGTTCCTCTTACTCCCATCCCGACGCCCATTACTAACCTTCCTTCTATAATTCCCAGGTTAATTGACAGCAACCGAAGTGCTACTGGAGTAGTACCGTTTGCAGCCACCATCCCACAGCACCTATCGGACGCCTATCGGCAAAAGTCCCTTATAAGGTCACGCTATCCCGTTTCCATGGTGACATTCAACATTCGCACTCTAAGACAAACAGGTCAACAGTCTTCACTCGCACGTACCTTGGACACACTGGGTATTGATGTGTGTCGTGTGTCCGAAACTAGGATCAATGACTGACGGGGTTATTGAATTAACTGCACCCGGCTTATCCTCTCGTTATTGGTTACACGCATTCGGAGACGCCGATGCAGCATTCACGGGCCAAGCTGGTGTAGGTATCATTCTAAGCTCCAAGGCTGTGCCATCGTTGATTGATTGGATTCCGGTGAACAGCCGTTTATGTGCAGCCCGTTTGACGACATCAGCTAAGGTTGATTCACAAAGTAGTACAAAAGGCTGTTTGTTCGTGATTTCCACTTATGCTCCCACCGACTTCAGTTCAAATACTGTCAAGGACACATTCTATCACGAACTGAACGCCCTACTACTCAGTGCTACTACTTCAGATATTATAGTACTTGCAGGGGATATGAACGCACAAGCAATGCGTCTTAGCTCTTCAGAAGCTCAGCTAGGTGGTAAATGTGGGCTTAACTCCGAGCGGACTGACAACGGTGAGCGTCTGCTGCAACTGTGTGCGGAGCACCAGTTGTTTCTTAGTAGCACTGCTTTTCGACACAGTGGGCGTCGAAGTGCCACTTGGCGTCCTCCTGTAGCTGGCCAACGATGGACCCAAATTGACCACATTGTCATAAGTTACAGATGGCGTGGTTCCATCCTGGATTGCTGCTCGTACTGGAGTACCCGTGTCGACTCTGATCATGCCTTGGTACGCTGTCGTTTCTCCATGAACTTTACCGGAAGGCGCACCAAGCGTCCCTACGATTTGCAAATGAGAAATTGTCTCAGTGCTCGGTCAGGCAAGCCTATTAAGAATCACTGCATACCGAACTTCCGCCGTCTTGTCCTAATGACGCTGAGCTTCAGTGGAATAGGATATCTGCCGCCATGCACGACACAGGAGCATCTGCTTGTGGCACCATCAATCGTCACCGCACAGTCACTGGATACCGAGAGGTCAGTGAACCTGTTGGAATCTAGAAGAAACCTCCCGGCTGGCTCTGAACACAATGTGACCAGACGGGATATTGGGCGCGAACTGAAGCAGAGCCTACGTGCTGACAAGGAAGCCTGGTGGACCAGTAGGGCTCAAGAAATGGAGGAGGCAGGAGCAGTAGGCAATTACCACAAGCTCTTCCAGCTGATCCGTACCACTGGTACCAGAAAACCAGGCGTCAGTGAGACAATCAGAGACAGTGCAGGTGCGGAAATACACAGTAAGGAGCACCGTATGGCTCGTTGGGCTGAACACTTTCAAGATCAGTTCAGTTGGCCCCCTGCTCCCGGACCTCTTCCTACTCAGGTGATGCAGGACGAGCCATGAACGGTTGGTTTAGAGCCTCCGTCGGAGGCCGAGGTCCGAAACGCGATCACAGCCCTTAATCGCTTTCATGTCGCTGGCCCGGATTCCCTCCCAGCTGCACTATTTAAGGATGGAGGTGAGGTCCTCTGCAAAGCACTGACCTCCCTATTCGAACGTATCTGGAACGAAGAGAGTGTGCCGGCTAATTGGAGCGAATCGATTATAGTGGCAATCTACAAGAAAGACAGTCGCACAGACTGTTTTAACCGCAGGAGTATTAGGCTAACGTCAATTGTGACAAAATTATTGGCCTCGATTATCGATCGTCGCCTCACTGCGGGACCGGAATCTTGGATTACGGAAGAGCAAGCCGGTTTCCGTCCGGGACGTGACTGTATAGACCATATATTCACTTTTCGGCAGGTGCTAGAGCAGAGCCACACATACCATAGACCGACAATAGCTGCGTTCCTCGACTTAAAGAGCAGTCAATTCAGTCGATCGATCGATTCTGTTCGAAATACTTGCGCGAAAGGTGTTACCACGAAATATGTGAACATCCTTTGTGCTCCATACTCGAACACTGCAGGCCGCGTTAGAGTCTACGGTGACCTGTCAGATAGATTTCCGACCACAATTGGCGTTCGTCAGGGTTGTCCGATTTCCCCATTTTTGTTCAATTTCGTTGTTGACTCTATCATGGAGTGTTCCCTTGCGGAATCTCACGATGTAGGCGCTGAAGTGTTGCCTGGTGAAGGGTTAGTTGATCTACATTATGCGGACGATATCTTCTTGCTTTTCGACGATGTTGGGGCGGAACAATCAACCCTGAATAGCCTGTCCAGAGTGGTCCCAGTATTTGGTATGCACTTCGCACCTTAAAAGTTCAAAGTGTTGCTACAGGAGCACCAGCCACTTGATGACCCCTTGACGCTTGCTAACGAGAAACTCGAGGTGGTTGATCATTTTAATTATCTTGACAGCTGCATCAGCAATAATGGGCGCATAGAAACTGACGTGAGCTCACGCATTGCAAAAGCCAGAGCTGCTTTCTTGAACCTACGGCATCTTTGGAGACAGAAGGGAGATTCCCTTCGTCTGAAAGGCCGTGTATACAGAGCCACAGCGAACGCCGTTCTGCTGTATGGTAGAGAGACTTGGCCCCTTCGGTCTGAAGATCTGAGGCGCCTTCAAGTCTTTGATCATCGTTGTCTGCGAAGCGTTGCTGATGTCGGATGGCACCAGCGTGTCCGCAACGATGATGTGCGTAGGCGAGTACTAGGTAGTGATAATCATGCTATCTCCCTAGAACAACAGATAGCACTGAATAAGTTGCGTTGGCTCGGGCACGTGCTACGCATGCCTGGTCACCGCTTACCTAGCAGAACCTTGTTTCGTCTGCCAGGTGTAGGGTGGCGCAAGGTTCGAGGTGGACAGAAGTTGACCTGGCAGTGGGAAATGAAGTCTCTGACGACCAAACTGGGTGCCGTTGGTCCGTCTCGCCTTCCGAGTTGGAGTCCACGTGACTGCCCTTATGCTTGGCTCGAGACTTTACAGGACATGGCTCGCAGTAGACACCAGTGGCGCATCTGCTGCCGTCTCCTGGTCGGATTGTCTGTTTAAAATGTGTTTGGTGCTGAGTTATCTGCGGGGTAATGGCTGATTATAACGCGTGGCAGTGAAAGCCGCAAGGAAGCTGTCTCTCCGATGCCGCCTTATCTTTGCACGATAGCCAGCTGTTTGTGACGGAATGTTGTCTACACAAGGTGTAGGCGCTTTGACCGTGAATGTTTGCTTATTGCATTAAGGTTTTCAGGTAAGTCCCCCTTCTCTCCCTCTTCTTATTCTTTATTTCATAGGTCATCATGGTTGTATGGCAGCGAAGCATCAGTTCAAATGACTGATGTACTGCTGTTGATGATGGTGATGATGACGATGCTGATGATGGTTGCTTGACGGGTAAACAGGCAGTCAAAGTTCTGTTTGGGACCTGTGAAATGAGTGGGCAC